TTTTTTTAAGGCGATTAATTGTATAACATTTTAAACTAAATTACTTAATTCAATCAATGTATTCTCTACAATACATGTGCGACGAATTGTCGTGCAACGAATTGATCGGTCACCCGAAGATTGTTGGTCGTATCAGTCTGCTTAGATTCTTAAATAGAGCAGCTTACGAACCCAACGAAAAAATTATGTTAAACATCTTCAAATCAATTGCAAGAACTATTATCATCTATGGTTATCCAATACTCCTTACAACCAACGACAAAATATGGGAAAGACTACAAATTATGCAAAATAAAGCCATTCGTGCAGCATTAGGATTACCCATATATACATCAGTCGAGTATATACCTAAAATCACCAACATTCCCAAAATTAAAGAATATACCATAACACTACTACAACGTTATATTCAAACAGCAACATCAAACAACGACCATATATTAAAAAAGAATCTACAAGAAATATTTAACAAACTTTAAAAACAAATCACCTACCCATGTTATATGTTATATATAGCATCGTTATTATCGATCAGTGTTGAGTCGACCGAATCCATATAAAAATTGTTATATCGGATTCGCCGACTTCAACTTTGCATCATATACCACATTGTAACAACTTCCATCGTATGACCTCTTTTCACGAGACATAAGACATTCGTCAAGCGTCTCGCCATTTCTCTCCAGCCTTCTGTAAATTTGTATTATATTTTTGCTTCTTCTTTTTTGTTAACATCTTAATAAAGGCTTTGACTCCAAAAAATGTACATCATGTTATGAATGAATACAAAAGAAAAAATACATAATCACAATGGAGTAAAAAAGTTCGACAATGTATTAAAACTATTATGTAAGATATTCATCATGAAGAAAATAATTATAAATGTGAAATAGAATATATTGAACGAGTTAAACCTTATGGACCTCATTTAGATGATCTTGTTGTTGATTTATTATTAACTAAAATATCTTCATCAGCATGAGAAAAAAATTTCTTAAAGAAATTTTCAGTTTATTGGATGTGATTATTAAACTGTCTGTTTAAAAATATAATATCTATTTGAAAAATTCGTACATATACAACTGAAGTATTCATCTTTTATTTGATTTTTTTCTCTTAAAAACATGTTTTTAAATTTTATTACTTTTATTGATTAACTCGATTAAAGATATCGAATAACAAAATCATTAAAAATATTATTTTCTGAGTGAATTTCCAATGCTAATGATCTCGAAGTCATACAGTCTATTGCACAGTAGTGAATCTTTGATGATCAAACGAAGAATTCTATTGTACGTATAATTCAACTTAAATGTAAACTGTGAGCACATCTCTTTTTGTTTACTATAAAATAAAGTTTAATTAGCTAAGCAGCATTTCTAACAGTAAGGGTCCACCATCATGACAAAGTGTCCAAGAACCTTGCCATGCTTGATTAACATTCTATTTTACATTTTGCTTTTCATTGTATGCAAACTCCTAACTTCTAAATTTTGTGATTAATAGTAATGAATTCGATATCCTGATGTCTGTCAGTTAACCTTTCGATTCATTGGAACGTTTCTCTGTCTTTCAAAACGTGTTACTCTTCCATATTTGACGCAGCTCTTTAGTCAATCTATGTGAATGCTTGGTACGAGTTTTCTTTAGACAGTGCCTGAACCCACAAACAATGCTCTATATACAAAATATATCTTTCATGTTTAAAGTAAAGTACTGTTCATTTTTATTTTATCTTTCTTTTACGTCTTTTATGAAATATTAGATAAAAGAATTGATCATCGAACGTTGCTGAATACTAAACGTTGTATATTGTTTATTGGACCTTATCTAAGTAAGTGTCAAAGGTGTCTCGATTAGGGTTAGCACTTTCACTATAAATTTAAAGTAAAATAAAAAATAAGAGCATTTTATACTTTAACTTTCAAAAAGTTAAAGTTAAATTAAATTCCTTCACAAGTGTTTCTTGTAAAAATAATTATTTTTTAATTAAGAAAATGAAATATACGTGAAAAAGGTGATATTTTTGTGAAAGAATGATCTTGTAAAAAAAATAATTCTTTTAATGAAAGAAGTAACATTTTTTTTGCAACAATATTTTGTGGAAAATCTAATTCAATTTTAAACCTTAAAGTAATTAACTTTAACTGAATGTACTGTATTAAAATAGTTTTAAAGTTAAAGTGCAACCGTAGTCTTAATATCTACAAGGTATAAGAGAAGAAGGCACGAGATCGATGACTCAGGAAATTGATTGGAAGATATTTCTCGATTCGATCGGATTTCTTAGACTCCAGTGATGTTTTTTAGAAGTAATAAGAAAAGAAAATTGAATAAAGCACGAAAAATTTGCTTGTCAAAAACGCAAATTTTGGATGTGAGCATTTCCTTCAGTAGGAAAGCTCTGATAAATTCATATGAAATATTTCGGTTTTTTCATCTAATTCTAGCAATCAACACCTTGAAAACTTTGTGACACTTCGTTTAAAGGAGCAGTGTCATTTTGTACTTTGGTGGCAAAAATAAAATGTCATTTGTCTTTATATTTTAGATTTCTTTTAGAAACACTGTAGCTAAGCGAGAATATTCATACCAGGGTTGGAACCGGTTGAAATATGATAAACCGATCCGGTCCGACCGGTTGAAAAATCTTACCGGTCCGGTTCGGCCGGCTGGAATCACATGTCCAACCGGTGAAATTCTGGCGAAAACCGGTAAAAAATCGGCAAAAAAAGTCGCATCTTTTCAAAAAACAATTTTTAGAAAAAATGACTCCAAATATGAAATAATATACGAGCGCATGCACCGAGGCCAGTGATTCCGGTCGTCAGAAATAGTCGGATTCTGCTGAAACCGGCAGGAAAGATGCTGAAAAACCATCGTATCCGACAGGAAAACACCGGATATAGCTGGAGCATCGAAGCAGTATTGCGGTACGAAAATTTCGCATATTTCCCCATGATTTACGCCTGTTTTCTATCGGATAGAGCTGGAATTTACCGAAAAAAGTCCGGAAATTGTTCTCCCGAAATATTGCTTCTATGTTCCAGTGATTTCGGGTATTTTCCTGCCGGAACTAGTCCGTACTTTTTGACCTGAATAAAAGACACCCATGATAATGAGTCTTTTTAAAGAGCATCTCAGAGAATTGATTAAAATAACATATGTTTTGAGTCACTTTTTTACGAATTCGGACAGAAAAGCATGCGACATCTTAGTTTTTATGGCCTAAAACACGGCTAACAAAGAAGGTTTTTCAGAACTTTCAACCGGTGAAATTCCAGTTTCTACCGGCCCGGTTGACTTTCTAAACCGGTCCTGTCCGGTCTGGCCGGACCGGTTCCAACGCTGATTCATACTCGCATTTTTTTAAATTTTATGTAAGAAATTTTTATATAGCCTCTTTCTTTAAAATAAATCCTTAACGGTGAAAAACCTTATGCGAGTACTGATTTACAAGTAATCTTGACCGAAATACTCATCGTCAAAAAAAAAAGATGACTAAAATTGATTCATGGATGCCTTTAAAGAGTTTTGAAATAGCTCATATGAAGTCAAATTTTTGTTAAAAGCACAAGGAGCCAAGTTAAAGGTTGAAATTCCTCTAAAAAAATTACAAAATCGTCGTTCTGATGATCACTCCTGCATGAAGATCATGATTTCTTGAATGATTGGCCAGGATCTAGTAAAGATATTGAGCAAGAAATGTCACGTTGTTATATTTTGATTATTTCAGTTCATGTGCGCTCAAGATCTAATTAAAGATTTTGGTACAAAATATTGTGATTATCCTGCACCTAAATTTTCAAGGTCTGTTAATATTTCTGTATCTTGCATCTTAGCCAAGAACTTGCTTATGAGACGTTCGACTAGGACTCCCACTAATACCTAATTTTTTCAAACTTTCAATGAAAAGTATGCGTCAGTATACCTTGAAGATTTCATTTTACTCAATTTAATTAATCTGCTCACGGCTTTTCACGGTCTTCTTCACATTATGCTGATATTCTCGTACCAGTCTTAAGTTACTCATTAGACTTTTAATTAACATTAAAAGATTTTATTTTGAAATTAAATTAAGAAAAGATTGGACAAACCACCGATTCAAAAATCTTTGATTATAAAAACGAACGAACTCAAATGATTTTACGCTGTGACAGTATTTAATCTTTCTCTGTCTGAGTACGATATCGACTTTATCAAATGAAAATTTCACTAAAAATAATTCGACAAACAAAAGATATATTACATAAAAGAAAAACGATTTTTGACGATGATTTATTGAGGCTAACTTTCCTTTTTCTTATTCATTTATTTATTTTGCTTGTCATTATATTCGAAGAACCCAAAATACTGGAAAAAACGAAAATTAATATTATTTACAATCGAAGTCATTATTGAAAATTGACGATTCTGATGTTGCTGAATAAAACTAATCGTTTGACGAATATAAAGATAAAATCATTTATGAAAAACCAATTATCATCGAGATAAAAACTGAGAAGAGAAAAATAATAGTCGATGTTTAAATCAAACTGCAACAATTCGAATTTCCATTCTTATGTGCATTTCTCATTGATCAGAATAAGAAAAAATCAATCATATTTATATAGACAACATGCAAGAATAACAAACTAAAACATATTTACTAGAATTTTATTCGATTTTTACTCTCGAATTAATTTCTCTTTAAATAATGTAATTATTCATATGTATATATATATGTATGAATGATATTTCATGGAAATGAGATGACGAGCGTCATCTATATGATAATGAGAAATGGAATAAATGGTGAGGAAATTATCCATTGTAGAATAATGCGATGATTTTTGTCGACACCTAAGTTCTGCATAAATAAAAAAAAAGTCTTTAAAATGGCAACACGTTCGTATGTTATACCAGATGTTGACGACGATGATGATAATCAAAAAGAATCAATGAATTTATTTTCTAAAAGAATAAAAACAGATGATTCATCAACAATAAATGAAACATCATCATCATCAAATCCTATTAATGAAACAGATTTTTCAAGTAATTCTTAGTTTTTAATTAAAAAAAGAACTTTAAAATAAAATATTTGATTTAATAAAAGCATCATCTGTTCGTCCAACATCGTCATCATCATCATCACTTTTCGTTCATTCTCGTCAACGAGGAAATCCATTATTAAAATATATACGTCAAGTTAAATGGGAATATTCCGATATGATATTGGGTGGAGCCGATTATTCAATGAGTCGTAGTTCATGTGCATTATATTTATCTCTTCGTTATCATCAATTAAATCCAAATTATATATATGAACGTCTTAAGTCAAATAAATTACCATATCAATTAAAAATTTTACTTGTTCAATGTGATATTAATGAAGCATCACAAACATTAAAAGAACTTGCACGTCTTTCAATTATTTATGATTTAACACTTATTATTAGTTGGAATGATGAAGAATCAGCGAGATATTTAGAAACATATAAAATAATTGAAGGAAAATCAGCTGAAAATTTAATGGATCTACAACAATATCAATCAAATGATTATTTAACAAAATTTATTGATATGATTACACAGGTTTTTATTTTTATTTTTATTTTTATTTTTATTTTTTTAAAATTTCATATTAATTTTTAAAGATTAAATCAGTAAATAAAACAGATGCTCAAACATTATTACACGGATTTGGTTCGTTAGAAAAAATATTAAATTCATCAAATGAACAATTATGTGTTTGTCCTGGTTTAGGAACATTAAAAGCTCAAAGATTATATCAATCATTTAATCAACCATTTAAAAGAGAAAAACAAAAAATAAATATTAATAAACAAAATAAAATTTCACAAGATAAACATTTTGATGATCAAACACATTTAGATTTATCGAATATTGATGAAGAAGTTTAAATAAACAAAATAATTCTATTATTTATTTTAGATGAAAATAGGTGATCATATATTAGTTGATGGAAAATTTCCAGCAACTATATTATATATTGGTTTAGTTGATGATCATCCGGGACAATGGATTGGTATTGAATATTGGAATCAACAAGGAAAACATAATGGAACTTTTAATGAAAAATTTTATTTTCAAACAAAACATCAACTTACTGGATCTTTTATTAGACAACAAAGAATTCAATTTGGAAATTCATTTACTCAAGCGATTTATAAACAATATATTAAAGCTTTTTCAAATGATTATATAATGACAGATATTAATTATTCATTATTCGGTTTGTATTTAATAAAACAAAAGAATTTTTTGATTAATATCACTTTTTTATTATCATAATAATATATAAATATTGTCAGAGATAATGTTTTCAGATAACTTTATATTCTCTATTTTAAATTTCATAAATATCTTCAATTATATATTGGCATTGGTTTTTTTCTTATAGAATTCTAAAGATAGAATAATAATATTTAAAATGAACTAAATTCAATTGATTTTAAATTATTCGAATCAATTAATTTAATATTAAATAATTATTCTCATAAGAGAGATACATTAAATAATCTAATCAATTATTTTATATATTTTCATATTTATATATCAAATTTATTTTTTATCAATAGAATGTTTTTTTTGTCAAATATGATCTAAAACAATTTTTTTTTTGAACAAAATTAAAATAGACATTTCAATTCGTGTAGTTAAAGACCTTATTCATTTATGAATAAAGATTCTATATATAAATAACATTTTTTTATAACTAATAAATAATCTATTTATTACATTTATCAAAGATGATAAAAGTAACACGATGGGTAAAGAAATATCTTCGAAAATTATATTTTCAACAAATTTTTTAATAATATTTAAACTAATAAAAGTAAATCAAATTTTAATATGGAATTAAAATCGATTAGTCTAATAAAGAAAGATTATTTTTTTCTTAATTCGACGTAGATAGAAAATTTTCGAAGATATTTATTAATTGAATACTTTCATTCACCTTTGAAATATCATGAAGACTTACGTATTTTCAAATTTTCGGTAGAGAGACTAATTGTCGACTAGAATTTATTGTGAGATTTTTAAATATTTTTCTTTATTCTTAACGTAAACTCCAAAGTCTAACGTCTATTTTTTGAAGAAATTCTAAACATTAGTTTACCTACTATTCTCAATGAAGACTATCAAACTCAGTTAATAAATACTATAAATATGGAATATCTTTTCATGGCTAAACAAAGTATTTGAGCTATTTTAAGTATATTGATAACTGATTAGTATTAACATAATATAGATTATTTCGATTTAAGAGTGATCGATTAGTTGAAAGATTACTATAGATCGATTTCCATTTACAAGTTATAAATATGTGAACAATTATAAATAACAGATGAGAATTTCATTCTATAGATCATCGATCAATCAGTCTAAAAAAGAACACTGATATTTCATATTGTCTATGCAATTGTTTCCTTATTAGATAAAAGTTATTTGAGATTGACTATGTGCTTAGTTATCAGCTGAGTCAACATTTCATTTCGAGCTGCTACAATCAATCACCTTTTCTATTTGCACTTTGCTTTGATTAGAGGCTTATTCTTTGTTTTGTTAATTATTTTAATTTAAAGATATTTCGAAATAATACATAGACGTTAAAATATTTGCCAAGTTTTTATATAACGATTATTGAAATTGGGCAGATTCGTTTTTTTTTTTCTAAACTGTCTCTCGAGATTTTAATTAATCATCTTTATCAGTACGATCTTAATTAAATTTTATTTTATTTTGATATTATTGTTAATAAAATAGATAATATTTGTTGATAGTTAATTGTTGTCTAAAGAATCAAATGAATAATTCGAATTGATGATTTTATTGTAAATGAAAGAAAATAATTGATAAATTTGTTTTTTTCATTTCTTGAATTTCTATAAGAAAGGAAAGAATTAATTTAATGTATTTTCTATTAAGGTAAACAATATTCTGATTATGCAGTTGATTTATCATCAATAATTCGAATAGATTTATCATCTCAATGGGTAAATGAATTTGATGATAATGATTATATATATAATAATCTTCGACAAATAAAAGAACTTAATATTCGTCAAAATTTAATTAAAAATTGGTCACAATTATGGATTGTATTAGATAAATATTTTCCTGAATTAGAAATCTTAAATGTTAGTAATTCTCGAATGAATTTTGATTTAAATCCATCAAATGAATATAAATATGTAAAACAAATTGTTCTTATTGATACAGATAATGATTGTTATTTATTTGAACATATATTTAAATATTTTCCAAATTTAAATCATATTCATTTAGATTTAAATTATTTAACTTTTATATCAGAATTATTTGTTGATCAAATTAAATATTTAACTTATTTATCATTATCAGATAATCCAACATTAATACATTGGGATCCATTTATTAATCGATTAGGAATACTTAAATATCTTCAAGAATTATTTATTAATAATTGTGGAATTGAACAAATTAAATTACCAAATCAAGGTTTTGTTTTAAAGATATTTAGAAAAAAAAACAAAAGAATTTCTTTTTAAAATTTTAGATGAATCAAATGAATTATTTCCATCATTAAAATATCTTTATATGTCTGATAATAAAATTTCAACATATTCATCAATAAATGAATTAAGTCGTATATCATCATTAATATCATTAAGTATACTTCGAAATCCAATATATGGATTAAATCAATTTGAAAATGAAACAGCTAAACAAATGATAATAGCTCGTTTACCCAATTTAACACATTTAAATAGAGTTTTAATTAATCGAAATGAAAGACGTGGAGCTGAAATTGATTATTTACAACGTTATGCACAAGATTATTTTGATCAAAACTTAGATTTTATTAATGAACATAGACAATATCAAACATTGATTAACAAACACGGAGAACCTATAAGACCAAATACAAATCAGGTTCGATATTTTTACACTTAGCACTAAACACTTTTTAAAATGATTTTATTAAATTCAAACCAACAAAATACTTTCATATGATTATATATTTTGAATTTTTAACATAAAACAAAAAAAATTTATTATTTTATTTTCGATTTTATTCTCGTTCAGTATGCGTTTAAGTATTTTACTGATATTAATTTGTTCAACTCGGCATTTCAAACAAAAGTTCGCAAAACTTTTATCCAAGTCTAATATTTAGTTTATTAACAAAGACTATAGTTACTGATAGACGTCAATTAGATTTGTCAAAATTTTTTATCAGAAAATAAAACATAATTTGTAAGTCAAAAAGTAAGAAAATAATATCTTTCAATTGTTGAATACAATTCGATATATCAAAAAATAATTCTAATCGTTTTTATCACAGAAAGTTATTTCTCATAAATCGATATAAGATCATTCATTTATAAATACATTCAATTATTTTTAAACAATAGACAAATTTTAAGAAAAAAAAAACATCACAATTCAATATATTTCTAGAACAAATTGGAAATCAATATTATTTAGTTAGTTTGTTCATTCTATATGATGTAAACTTTCAAGTAAACTACAAGAAAATTTTCTCACAAAATACAAATATTTTAGGACTTTTATTAGTCTTGTATAGAATAGTATAATAGTCAATGTATAAGGTGAAAAAGTTTAGTAGACCTCTGTTGTTACTCGTTAATAAACTACGAAAGAAAAATGAAAATATTGTGCATTAAATATAAATATTATAATTGTAGACATTCAAAAAAAAAGGTCTTTGTATTCGGCCTGATTTATTAAAAGTAATATTTGAACTTGGTGATGAAAATGAAAGAAAAATCGAAAAAAAAATTCCATCATCAATGACAATAGCAAAATTAAAAACATTTGTTCGTCGATTATTTTCATCACAATTAACAAATAATATTCAATTTAATTTATTTGTTGTTATTGATCAAAAACATAAAGAACTTATGTCAAATGATTATCAAGATATTCAATTTTATTTAGGAAATTATTTTTTAAATGATAATAATGATCAACCTTCAATTATTAGAATTGAAACTATTTAAAAATGTCTTTTTCTTTTTTTTTGTTTGTTTTTTATTTCTATTTTAAAAATAAAATGTTTAACATTTAAAAAGAAAATATTTTATTCTTAACATAATTATATTTTACTTTCAAAATTTACATGTCTTTTATCTGAAAAAAAGAAAAGTGTCACAACATTTTAAAAATCTTTGATATGAGAAAAAAAATGAAACAACATATGCTTCTACTTTCATTATTTTCCATACATCCAACAACGATTGACACCTATTAATAATAAAGATCGAACAACAAAATAAATCTGAACTTTTTTCTCTTCTAATTTTGATTTGCTCATTAATAATATAATCAACATTTCATTTTCTCTAATTCAACTTGAATTTATATAACAAATAAGATACATGCTCTTGATAAAGTAACACACATTTATACTAATATTGTCAAATATATTTTTCGATACTCTTAATTAACCTAATGAGAAAATCATCTTATTAATTAATCTTTCGCTTTTGAATTTGAATTCAGTGCAAAAGATACATTCTAGTCAGATATAGAAAATTCAAAACGATAAGGGTTCTAAAACTTTCTCTCCAAACTTTTAGGCATTTTACTAACTTTTCACTTTGAATCATAAAAAGTATCAGAAAACTGAATGACAATATTCGCTGAAAATTTCAACTGAAAAGAATACTTCATTTTCGACATATTAAAAACTACCAAAAGACTGATATTCTACGAAAGACGTGAGAATTTTTTCTAGTTTTGGGATTTTATTATTTTGAGAGGAAAATATTATTTTGAGCTGAAAGATTTAAAGCATTCTACTGATAAATAGACCTGTCTATGGCCGCAAATCTCAGCTAGAAATATTTATATTTGATATAATCGTATTTGCCATTCTCAAGGCTAAAATTCCAGTAAAACGCCTAATTTAGAAGTCTTGACATGAAATTTAAGGACACTTGTCTTTTTCAAGTTTTTCATAACTTAATAGACTTTAACTATTGCACTCAGTCGCAATTCAAGAACTTTATTAGTTGAAAACGATTCGATATGAGTCTTAAAATAGAATTTATTCAAGTGAGTCATGTTCCAATTTGAAAACCAAACTGATGGATCTGATTTCGATCTAAAGAAAACATGGATGATTTTGCCCATATTTATATTCTTCATTCTTTTCAATCATTTAATCATGCCTAAAATGTTAAGCGAAAGCAGCGATCGCATTTAATCGTAGCTCAAGAAATGTTTTTCTCACATTTATCGTGCTTTTATATTTAAACACTCAGATATAAATAACAATATAAAGTTGAGCATAGCATTAAACAATATTTAATTCAACAACGCATATGCAGAGATGGTCATATCATAATTATCGACTGTTCGTTTAAGTTTCACACGAATTTCAATATAATGCTCATCGCGATGAAATTCACTATGTTGATATGATGATAGATCCAGAATGGGGTAGTAATTAAAAAACTATCTCCGTAACGAATCAGCCTAGAAAACATTTATATTTGTTATTTGAACAGAGGGACTTTCGTTCTAACTATGTGAAAAGACTGTTCTGTAGTGAAACATTTTCCATTATATTTCGATATTATTGAGCATATTCCATTGAACAATTGACTTGATTGATTTGGTACATATTATTTTTTTTCTCTTTGTTTTATTGAAATTATTGATCGATTTTTGAAGTGTACGATGTATATTTGTACAAAACTTCATGTCACATTTAATTGTCAATTATAAACGCTCGTTTCTTCTCATTGAACACGTTCTTTGTTCATTTTCGAAAAAAAAAACTGAATTAGTCAATATTCATAATTAAGATACGAAAACAAGAGAATTCTTCATAATCAATGTTTCAGATTGATTCATTTTTCAACTGAATAACTTTGCTCCAATGGATCTCGAACAAATGATCTACATTTGCACATTTCTATAAGATTTCAATGAAAGAAATAAAACATAAATGAAATTCGTATATAAATATAAACAGTTTAAATTCATTGAACTATCACTTTTAAATCTAGTTCATAAATTGATTTTCATATGTTTTATGAAACACAAGAATAGCATTTCAATAAAAGATCTAATGAAGTTAAAAGATTATTTAAACATATCTTAATTATCTATTTTCATAATATTTTGCAATTTATAATCGATATTGTTAGTTATCAACTTTTTTACATTGTTTATTACCTTAACAAAAAGTATTAAAGTTTTTAAACTAAAATTGTTAATCATATATCAATAGAAAATATTAGTGATTATTATTTCTATTCAAAAAACATCTAATTTTATTAATGAATTATCTTCTAGACGACGAGATCAAAAACAGAATAACTCGATGAAAAAAGTAACCAAAACAAAGAAAGGGAATGTACTTTTTCTCATTCTTTACTTATTTGTAGATTGACATTTGTGGAAGACGAGTTATTTTCCAATGGAACGTCTCACCCTTCTTCTTGTTTTGGTCTCTTTTGTTTTAAATGTCAATGGAAGAGCATTTGATGGTAGCTTTATTTCAAGTAGTAGTGATTCCGATGAAGTAAATATTATATATTATATATAAAATAGATAAATGAAAAAAGATACTTTATTTAGAAAATTATAACCTATAAAGTTATTGCAAATAAACCATTAAGAATTGTATCATCTGATGAAGATTCTCAACATGAATATAAACTTGGTCAAGTCAGTGGTCTTGCTGCATCTGTTAAAAATCCAAATCGATTATTTATTTTTCATCGAGCATCAAGAGAATGGAATCAAGAGTATGTTTAATGCATTTTTTTTAAATTTAAAAACAAAAAACAAAAAAACAAAAAACAAAGAAAAAGAAAGGTTAACGATATTCTCTAGTACGTTTATTATTGAACCAAACACGAATTTGAGCTGGTGTTAATTGAGTTCGAGTTGAAAGATCATCAATTGTTATTTTTGATAAATATTTATCAATTTTATAAAAATGTTCTTCAAGAATACGAATTTGTTCAGAAGAAAAACGACGAGTCTTTTCTGGACGAATCTGAAATATAGAAGAAGATGAATTTATTTTATTACTTACTTGTTGTTGTTGTTGTTGTTGTTGTTGTTGAACAACAGGAACATAATTATAATATGAATATGGTTGATGAAGAGTACATATACCTATTGATGGAGGAGGAGGAGGAACTGTATTATGTATTGGACAATAACTTGAATCTAAAATATAAGAAAAAGAATCATCACCTGAACTATAACAATAAGAATATTCGTCAGCATATAACATTGTTTGTTTTCGATATTCAATCAAATTGATTGTAAAACAGAAATGAATATGAATATATATATATATATATATATAGAATAATTATATCAAAATTTAAAACAATTAATGATAAGAGACAATAGAATTATTTAAACAAAAACAATTAGACATAAAATAGTAAACATGAAATGAACTTTTTTCTTTTTGTTTTTTTTCTCTTATATAAATGTTTATTTTTGTATTTTATTTGAAAAAGTTCACTATTGACGTAATCAAACAAAAGTTAAAACTTCTCAATAAACGTCAAATATAAAAGATAAACTCTCAACAAGATGAACAAACATTATATTGATCATCTGATAGTATCATTTATATTTAACATATTTTCTTGTAACACTTTAAAATTATTTTACCATTGTTAATAAATATAATCTTATTTATTAAATAATAATTTAACTATCTAAAATATCATAAAGATTTATTCTTATCGAATTATGAATTCGATTGAAAAAAAGACGTTGATGTATAGAGATTGAAGTAAAATGATTAGTTGAGTAAATACAAACATAAACTATTTACTAAGTTCTATGAAAAATCGTTCAAATATTCTAAATAAGTGAATATTTGTCTATATTCTATTAAACTGTGTTGAAGATAAATATTGACATAACGAATAGATTTTGTAATATAATTCTTAAAATAATAATCGAACGATTCAAACTTTCTAAAGAAATATTCTCACAAAAAAAATTTTTTCTCATAATAAAGACATGTAGAATATTGATGATATATGATAATTGAATGATTGTCTAAATATCATTTTTCTGATGGTGTGAACTTAAACAATGGATTTGGCGTAATTTCTGAAAATACAATGCTGACGGTCAATATTCGTACTGGTCAATTAATTGATCAATGAGGAATGAAAACGTAAGTTTTTTATTATGTAAATAAATAAAAAGAAGCAATTATATAGTCATCTGTTGTAACTCGGATCATTGCTCAAAACAATTGATTTATCTCAGTCATTCCTCAACTATTTTGGGTCGGACAAAAAAAATTTTTTTACTCCAGCACATCGTCCAAAGTGTTTTCTACAAGTTTATATTAAAAACTAAAAAAAATAAATATTTTGTATAGAATTTTTATAAAAATGGTGAGAACCCTGAGAAAATGATCTGAATTAGCACAACTGTGGTAATTCGGATCACTTCAGTAGAAATCAATAGAAAAACAATACACTGAGCTTTTTCATCTTCCTATTAACTAGTAATAAATTAAAATTAAATAAAAAATATACCATTTGATAGTCCCAAGTCTTTTCTGTGGGACCTTAAAAGATATCGTCAAATTATTGAATCATTGAAATGCAATTCTCACAACACTGAAACCTACCAGAGAGAATTTCTTTTATTTTTCATCTGTTGTAATTCAGATCATTGAAGCAAAATGGGACGGGATAATTCGAATCATTCCAGCAAATTTACTTGGGGAGANTAAGTATAATAATATCAAGTTGAGAGAAATATTTTCGATTGAAAATTTCGTTTTTTTTTAGGCGTAATGAAAAAAGTCATTTTTATTATTTATCTTTGTCTTAATATATATATATATGTTATAAATGTTAATATTTTGATGATTATTTTAATTTGAAAAATTTGAAAAATCTAACCTGTTTAAATCCGATTGTCTCGAGACAAATCATAGCTCCTGAATATTTCTGAAAGACTTCTTGAACATAATTGATAGGTAATGTATGATGTCGATGATTGTTTCGATCATTAAGTAAATTTGAAACAATATCAATAAGAAGTGTTATTGTAACAATTCGATCATCTTGATCAATTATTTTTCTTAAATTATTTATAAAAGATAAATCCATTTTATCTGGAATATAACAATTATTTTTCGATTATTAACAATAAAAATGTATATTTATAAAAAAACGAATCGATTAAATAAATAGATTAGAAAAGAAAAAAGAAAGGAAGAAAGATAAAATTCGTATTTAAATAGAAGAAAGAAAAAAAAAAAAAAACGAGTTCACTGATAGGAATGTTTCTAGCACCGAATAAAATAAAGACTAGAATTGAGTTATTTCTTCTGAAGAACTTAATGTATTATCATGAATAGGAGAAGCATGATTATTATTTGTTTCATCTCGATCTATATTCGAATTAACCATTCCAATATTAATATCAGAATTTAATTTTACAATATCAACATCATCATTTGATTTTGAACAAACTGATAATATTTCTTTTGATATTATTTTATTTTCGCCTTTTGATTGAGCAACATCTTGTTCTTTAATATTATTTGAAACTTTTTGACGATATTGTGAAAAAAGTGATACACTATTTGAATTATCTGATGAAAATCCTATATATCCATAACGACGAGGACTTTTTTCATTTGAATTTGAATTTGAATTTGAATTTGAATTTGAATTTGAATTTGAATTTGAATTTGAATTTGAATTTGAACTTGACGAACTTGATACTAAATTTAAATTGAAAAATATTATTTAAGAAAAAAAACTTAATTAATTAAATTAGTTTTTCGAAGTCAATTAAAAGCAAAGATTATATCGATTTGAAAAAAATTTTCATGTGAATGAAAGCAAGTGAAAGAAAAACCTTTTTCAAATAAAAATAATTTGAAGAAATTCTTCGATTAATAAAAACATTCGAATAAATTTTGAATAATAAAAAAATGTTTTGTTTATTTCTGATAAAAATCAAAATAACCTGTTATTTGTTCTAGAGAAATTTTATCTGTTGGTATGTCTTCAAAACTAATTTGTCGATTATATGTTGGCTCGATTTTAACTGACGTTTGTCGATCAAGTGGGACAGAAGGTGCTCGTTTTTTTTGACTTATTCTTGGTGATCTTTAATTAAAAGAAAATATTTTCTTTTTATTTATTTAATTATTAAATAAATTAACTGACGATTGTGACAATCCTGTTATTGATTCATTATCAACTATATTTTCATTCGAACCAGAACGATTTTTCTAACAAAATAAATAAATAAATAAATAAATAAATAAATAAATAAATAACAAATAAAAAGAATAATTAACAAGTTGAATAAAAGTTGGAATAAGATCAGGTTGCGATTGATATAATGTTTTATTATGTTGTTGAATATAAATTTGATTATTTAATGGAAACAATTGTTTATTATGTATAATCATAAGTTCAACAATTATTGAACTAATTGTATATAAATTTGAGAGAGATAAATTTGATGATTGTTCTTTTGGATATAGAAGACTACATCCAATACATATACCTAAATTACTGGCTGTCATTTTATTTATAGATGAATATTCAGAAACACGACTTAAAAACCAAATTAATTGACTAAACAAAAAATAATTTTTAACAAAAACCTTTGATTTTTATTGATTAATTAAATAAAATAAAAACTAACCAAAGATTATTATAATTGACTTGAGGTAATTTATTTATTAATTGACTAATATGTCGAACACGATCTTCGTCAGTACTAAAATTTTAAATATATTTAAAGTTTTGTTTCAAGTAAATAATAACCTAAGTGATATAATTTGATTCCATAGTGGTAAAAGTGCATCAGTAAGTAAACAATCTGGAAGTTCTCTTAAATATTGTTTAAGTGTACCTGCTGGTACATGTGGATCATAAGCAAGATCTCGTAATTTAATATTTTTATTAATAATTTGTAAATCAAGTTCAGTAACTAATTTTTTTTGTTTAGCTTGTGCTGGTGCAATACGAAAAATTCCTTCTTCTTCAAAACAATTTTCTAATAAATGAAGACACATTTCAATTGGATAAGCTATTGGACGTTGAATTCTTTTTAAACAATGTTCAGATAAATCACAATGAAATGATGGAGCTAATTTATAATTATCTAAACGATGTTTAACTTGAGGTATTTGATTTGATAAATATATTTGAATATCATTGTAAAATGATTGTTCTTCAAATAAATATTTAGCAAAAAATTGATAAGTTATTAAATGTTCTTCACTAGCTATACGATTTGTTTCTGTAAAATAAATATCACGATTTGATATTCGAGTTTGATCATATTCTCTATAAATATCTTCTAATTCCCTATTACGTTCATCATAATTTGGAATTGTCATACGATCGTATCGACTTCGAAATCTTTAAAAAAAAAAAAAAAATTAATCTTTTTTTTTCTATCATAAATAATTTATTCAAAACGAACTTTTTTAAATTAGTTTCAGCTGTTTCAAATTTTCGTTGTGTTCGTTCATAATTATCACGAAGGTCTGACATTGTTTGTCGAATAGATAACTATTATATAAAAGAATTTATTTTTATTTTAACAAAAACAAAGAAATCCTAACTAATCAATGAAATACTTGTTTTTCTTTCGCTTGTTCACTAATTTTTCGAAAATTTTCAAGCCATTCTTTTCTTCTTCCATCAATAAATTCATGTATTTCTATTAAATCATCAATAGTTGAATTTAAAATTGATGGACAATCATTTTGTCCATATGAAGAATGACAAGTTTGTGCAATATCACTCAAACGAAATTCTTTAAATGCTTTTAATATATCACTATCACTACTTTTATTTAACTAGAAAAATTTTGTTTTTATTAAATAAAATAATTAATATTTATTTTAATAAATAAACTTACAAAATCTTTGTCTGTTTTCCAAAGATCAGATAATACTTTACATGAATCTCGAATGTAACGAGCACGATTGCGAGACTCCGGAACATTATCATTTCTAAAATATTATTTAAAAACTTTTTTTCTTTTATTCAAATTTTATTTAATCATATTTTACTAACTATATCGAAAGATATTATTTTAAAATCTTTTTTTTTTTTTTTTCTATACAATTATAAAATTAATTAAAAGATCATTCTCAAATTATTTTTTATAACTTCATAAAAATTAATATCTATAGAAAATCTATTTTACACTTTTGTTTGATAGATATTACTTAAAAACAAAAAACAAAAACTAGATTGATTATCTTTCATTCAATACTTATTAAGTCGATTAGTTTATTCGATCATTTAATATAGGGACTAATTATATAGAAGAATTTAACTAATTACATAAAACCTAAAGTTTATTACAGAGAAAATTATTAATTTTAATTTTTGTTTTTAATGACGCATAAAATAATATTCCGTGAGGATACTATAATTATAAATAGAGTTTATACCATTATCATGAAGAATGAATTCATTTTTTATTTTTTTATTTTTAACAAAATTATTGAAATTTGTTTATCAAGAATTTACTAAGAACATATAAAAAGTAGTGGCACTGACATTATCAAATTTTATAGAAAGCTGAAAGAATTATTTTCTCCATATACTGAAAGTTCAAATCGAGTTCTATAAATCTAAAATATTTCATCATTCTTAAATTGATATTATAATAGCAAAGTTTCAACATGTTAAAATTTGTTGTTTATTTTTTTTTGTTAAATATTTTTCTTAAAAATACGAGACAATAACCTATATAGATGCAAAAAATAAAAACAAGACACATGTCTTTACATATATAAAGACGGATTATTATAAAATGAGACAAACCAAGAGAATAAAGAATAATTCCAAAGAGAAAATAAAAGAAGAGCACAAAAAATGAGTTACATCTATCGAAGAGATCGTTTCAAATCATAAATCGTTTTCGAGTTTCAACTGAATGCATAAGCTGGTAGATTCTAGTGAAATATAAAAAGTCTTAAAAAGACAATTGTTTTTAAACTTTTCCTTGTTTGTTATAGAGATTTTATTGGAATTTGAGAGTATGATAGAGTATAGATCAATAAATTAAGTGATGGTATTTCAGCCTGATATGTTATGGCCACTGATATATCTATTTGTGACTACAAAAAATCTCCTGAAAAACTGAAGTCTAAAAGAATATTTATTTCATGAGATATTGATTTTCTAAAAATGAAAAATTCTCAGATCGTTTGTGAAATAATATGATTCTTTTTTGGAAATTCAATCTCGTGTATTATTAAGAAGAATAATTTTAACAAAATTTCACAACAAATTTTAACAGATTGAAACATTGATATTATAATATCATATAAACAATGATGAAAATTTCTTTAAACTTTCTAGAAGATTTAATAGTGTCGATGGTATTACTTCTGCTATGTGTCACATAAGTATATTAACTTATTTTGAGAAAAATACTTTTACAACAAATACTTTAATAAATCGTCTTAGACAATTTAAACTTTGTTTTTTTGACAATAATATAAAGAAATTATTCTACATTATGGTTAGAATCAATGATGATTCATCAGATATTTTTATTTGAGATTTTTTGATAAGATAATGATAAAAGTCAATATTTATTCTAAAAAATAAATAATATTTCATAATTATCAATTAGTTAAATCTATTAAAATATTATTTTTAAGAATAAATCATCAATAATATAAATAAAACTCACTTATTGCCATTGAAAAATGGCTTGATTATATTCATCTATAGGAAATAAAAAAATAAAAACAAAAATAATTATTGAATTATTTTTAAAATTAAATAAAACAATAAATATATGAATGTAAGTTGTATTAGACAATATTAATATAAACACTCTTTCTCACCAAAGGATTTGCCGAAATAGTGGCTCGTCTCGATCCTTGTTCCGATGTCGATTCTCCATCATGTTTAGGATTAAAAGATAGAAAACTATTAATAAATGAATCTTTTCTATTCAATGCCATATTACTTAACAAAATAAAATGACACACCAAGAAAAAAAAAACCGAAAAAGAACTAAATTTATACGGCAAGGTACCTAATGTTTACAGACTAGCATGGGCTCTTTCTTTTCTTTTTACGTTTTTTTTTTTTTTTTTTTTTTTTTTTGCATCATACATTGCTTGCTTATTTTCTCATCATTATACACATTTACTCTCAGGTAAAACATTAAAACGACAGAACAGAACAGAACAGAACAGAACAGAACAGAACAGAAAAAAATGAATAAAATATGAGACGATAAAGCACAATTGGCCTTTCTTTTTTTCTTNTTCAATTTAGTCGATAAAAATTGGGTCTTTCGAATGACAGGCAATTGTTTATTTGATTTTCTTCCTTGTAGTTTTTTCTTTGTTCATAAACTTTTTGAGCAAGCAGTCATTTCATATTGAGATTTCTTAAGACGCGTAGCAGAAAAAAAAGAATCGATTACATTTTTAATGAACTTCATTTTATAAGCAAGACTTAATTCATTCAAAATTATTTTTGAAAAGGCAATTGCATGAAATAATTAGATTAAAATTGAATAAAAACATTTCCATTTTAATCGATTTTTTTATCAGAAAAGCTAAACTAGAATCAGACTTTTTTTCATTTTTTTGGCACAGGGCAAAAATTTTTGCCCTGTCCTGTGACGGTCTCTGATATATTCTATTCATATGAATTTTATTTAATTTAATCATTTAATTCAATATGATTTTATAAAAAGATATTTTAGATTTAAAATGATTTTCAAAATGATTTTGTTTTAAAATAAAATTCTAAAGATAAAATGTCGAATAAATAAAGAAAAAAATCTACTCTATTATTAAAGATAAATTTTATTTTTATTGAAAAACAAAAATTATTCAAACTATAATATGAAGAATTCTACATAATCATAGAGATGAGGTTTTTTTGTCGATAATATCAATAAAAATATGTCTATAGAACATTTAAAAAGTGATCAGCTAAATACAAAGCAGAGAAAAAAAATAAAAAATAAAAAGCAACTAATATTAAATAATCTTGTTTATTTATCGATTTTAAGACAATAACGTGTCATTTCTAAAACAGTACAGACGCTTTGACAACAAGCTTCTGTTAATAATTTATGTTTAACAAATCGAGAAAAACGTTTTTGATTTAAATCGATTTGTTTTTGTTCAAGAGCTTGACAAACAATATTAATTAGAAATAAAACATGAGTTCCACATGCATGATATGCTCGATGAAGTTCACAATCTTCGACTTTGTAGAATTTTCCATAAACTTCAATTGTATCACCTTCATGTAATTCTCCTTCATCATATTCTATTGTACAATTTCCTTTCATAGATGATACATCAACTTTGATCAATGTACTTTCACATAATAATATTATTGTTAGTAACAGAATTGTATTGACCAACATTGTTTGACCTGTCCGATTATCTATTGGGAATCTAAGAAAATTAACAAAAAAAGAAATAACTTAAGTTAATATTAAAACTGATAGTTAGAAACAAAAAAAAATCAATGAATTTGTAAGATTTATTATCAATGAATATATTATTGAATAATAAAAGAATAAGAAATTCCAATCTGATGAGAGAAAACATCTGATATATATATATATACCTTTTCAAAAGATAACAGAAATGTAGTTTTGAATTAAATCAGGAACATACGTCCTTCTCTTAAACAAATTAATAAATATTTATTATTCTTTTTTATTTCTAAAATATTTGTTGTTTCTATATTAACAAATAAAATTATCTTTTTCTCGTAAGATCTGGTTTTTATGAATATCGATCTAAAAAAAATAGGAGAACAAAGGTTAATGATAAAAAATAAATTATTTTTCAAATTTGAATTTACTATTTATTTTTCAACTAAATTATATTATTTACCATAATATTATTAAATTAGACAAATAATGTTAACTGAATTAAATCGATAAGAAAACAAATCTATTGTTTTATGTTTGAGGGTTTAAAGCTTGAATATACATTTCGTTCGAATAACTTTTCTGTATTTAATATGAAGATAAATAATAACCGTATTGAGATTATATTCATTGTTAGAGAATAAATTTTATATTAATATTGTACTATAGAATTTCAAATCGAATAATATATTTGAGATTGTTTATATGTTTGTCAGAAAAGGATTAGTTAGAAATGATGTCTTCTCATTCAAATTGATCTGCTCGAACAATCTAAGATTATTTTATTGAGTAATAATTTATAGACGTGAAGGAGAGGTACATGTCATCATCTATTACTTTTATTACTTTTACTGTT